CGTCAACTTCCTAGCCCCATGGTTAAGAGAAATAATTAACGCCTCCTTAAAGTTAGGATGTTACTAACTCTGAATAAAGATTTTTATTGAAAAACATGCCTTTTGACTTGGAATACTTAAAAAGTATTGGCATATTTTAAACCCTATTTCTTAAAGTGATTTAGTGGTTTGGAGGCTATTGTTAGTGGATTTCGCTATTTCGATGTTTTATCTTACAAGTTATTACTTTTGAATGCTTATGTACAGACTTAACGGTTTTTGCAAAGGTGGCAATTAAATACCCTAAAGAAACAAATATGTCAGTCTGCTGCTTGATCTCAGTGCTCTGAAATCCTTCACACAAACACACACTTTGAGAATAAGCCTTTTTGAACAGGGTGGTGGTTTAATTTAAATAAATATGCCTAAAATTCAGCTGCACAAATCTCTGCCGAAGAGAATCTGTTTCCCCTGCAAACAACAGAAAACTCTCTGTTGTGTTTGGGAGATTTAACAAAACTGTAACTAGAAACACAATCACAAAGCCCAACACTGGACTTCTCAATAAGAAAAAATGGAATATTCAATTTATGCAAATATTGTGCATTGTATAAGCAGAATAAAATTATTTTAGGATGCTCAGAGGGGCTTTAAAGCTTGGAATAATTACAGAGGTGTAATGGTGTTTCCTGATGTGTTCCTGTTGTTTGCTTTTGCTATCCATAAATGAACTAACAGTAAATCTCAAACAATTAATCTGGTTGGAAAATTGTCTTATTTATGAAAATGCAGTTTATTAAAAACAAACTTTAACTGAAGGGATTTCCAGACTAAACCAGTAACCAGTAAATCCCAAATCATAGGCTGATTAATGAAAAGCACAAATGAAAAATGAATGAATGATCACTGATGATCACAACTGATCCATCAATGTGGCACTTCCTCCGTTTGGCAAGAAGGTACTTACCACATTTTGCCAGGTATCTCACGGCTTCTAAGTGGCCACTTTCAGCCGCTACAAATAAAGAGGTAATTCCATAGCAGTTTGCAGATTCAACCTTGGCACCTCCCTGAAGTAAAAGTTCTGTTATTTCTAAATCGTTTCGAGCAACAGCTTCATGAAGAGCCGTCCATCCACGATTGCAGCGATGGTTTACATCAGCATTGTACTGCAGTAACACCTGCACAGCTTCAGAATTTTTGCGTTCACAGGCTGTCATGTCAAAAAAAAGAAAATCTGCATGTTGAGAGCATTTATTTGATTAATTATGACACTGGCTACAGCATGGGCCATGTATTCAAATAAACCTATTTTATTTCTCTGGGGAAATTTTAGGGAAAAAAACAATTTGAAATCTATGAATTTATTTTAATTTGTTTTTAAAAAAAAAGAAGCAAAAGTATTTCTTGGGCCCAGAACTGTATGATAGCTAGAAAGGGTAAGAACCAGAAATGGAAATTCCAAGGGCATATTGGGGGAATATTGGGGAAAACAAAGGATGGCAGCCTCCTTATTTCTCTGGCATATCCTGCTTTTAAGACAAGTTAAGAACATTCAGCACTCATGACATGTGTGAAGCTTCCAGGAGAGAAAGTATTTCCAGGTCTAAAGACACCAATACATTCTGGCTCAAAACCCAAAATAAACATATCTCCCATACAGATACCAAACAAACGTATAGTTTACTGGTATATGTTCAAGATCTATGCAAATGAAGTTACGTACCTTTATAAAGTGGAGTCTCCCTGGCTTTGTTTGCAATATCAGGTTCTGCTCCAGCTTGGAGCAATGAACGCATACAATCAATATTCCCTCTATTTGTTGCTAAATAGAGTGCCGTTTCTTCCTGAAGTGTACGTTGATCAATTGTCCCAGGGAAAGCTATTGAGAAAGAATTGAACCATATTAAGCAAGGGTTGCAATGCACCTAGATAATGTTAATAGTGAGCATTATTTAGACTTCCCCAAACTGGTGCATCCAAGATGTGTCAAACTACAACTCTCACTGTTTTTGACAGCACAGCCAAGCAGATAAAGTTGTAATGTAATACACCTGAATGCCCAAGGTTGGGAAAGGCTGACCCACGGCAATTACTATTAGGACCTTTATGAGATAGTAAACTACTATCTCATAGTGCATAATGCATATTAATAGTTTCACATCTTCAGGGCTTAAATGGTATGTGTTTTATTGATCTGCTTTTGTAGGAAGACATTATCACTTTGGGGTAGCTTTGGAAAGTCCCACTGCCTGAGTTCATCATCATCATCATCATCATCATCATCATCATCATCATCATCATCATCACACTGCTTGTACTGGTGTAACCAGAGAAGATTTTCATACACTGAGGTCACAACTTTCTTGTGAAAAAGTATTACAGACTTTTTAAAATTATGAACTAAGCTGGGTTTAAATCAAGGAAATATGAAAGGTGCTTGCACATAAATTCCTTCAATAGATGCCATGAAAACTTGGAAGAAATGATAGGTATTCCAAATTTCTCCCTATAAGGACTACTTGAAGTATTATCCTGGAGTATTATTCTTGCTTTATTATTGGAACAAGCAAGCAAAGTAGTGCTGAAATCTGACGAGTAGTAAAAATATTAGACTAGGATTCAAGGAGTATTCTACTGCCTTACTCAGCAATGAGGCATACTGGATAACCTCAGGGGAGTCCCATTGTGAATACATAATTTGCAGGACCACTTCTTCCTGAAGGTATCTGCCCATTCCACCAGTTCAGATAGGGTGGGCACACTCCAGGTCCCTTCCCTTGAATGTTGTTATCTGGTGGGACTTTGGAGACATCCCTTTGCTGTGGCTGCCCTGACCTTTTGGAATAGACTCCACTCTGAGATTCTGAGTGGGCCCCTCAGGGACTCTGAGTGGGCCCCCATTCTATTAGCCTTTCAGAGGACTGTGAAGATCTGACTCTTCAGCCAGGCTTTGGACTAGGATGGAAGTGAGCCCAGCAAATGTAAGTAAGAGCATGGGGAATCTATGTGACGTTGAAGTGCTGTGCTGTGCTTGGGATATACAGGTAGTCCTCCCTTAACTATGACAATAGGAACTGGAAAATAATCATTAAGTGGGGCAGTCATTAAGCAAAACATTACATGACTGCACCCAACTTTATGACTGTTTTGTGGCAGTTGTTAAGCAAATCACCACAGTCATTAAGTGAATCACATGGTTTTTAAGTGACTCACATGGTTCCCCATTGATTGTGTGCTGGAAGCTGGCTGGGAAGGTTGCAAATGGCAATCACATGACCCCAGGACAGTGCAACCATCGTAAGTGCAAGCTGGTTGCCAAGTGCCTGGATCGTGATCATGTGATTGTGGGGGCACTGTGATGGTTGTGAGTGCGAGGACTGGTCATACGTACTTTTTTTTAGCATCATAGTAACTTGGTGTCGTCATGGGGTGGGTTGTTTTATTTATTCTGTTTTTATTTAATATTATTGTGAACTACCCAGGATTATTTTGTATAAGATAGGTGGCCATATAGGTTTCTAAGTAAAAAATAAATAATGAAAATATGAACACTTTATTTGTAGATTACAGACTCATTGTGTTCAAATTTGGGGAATCGTTTAAATAAAATTTGCATGTGTAAAAATAGGTTGCATATGTAAGCTACTGTTCTATGTTATAATACAACCTAATAGGTTCCTTTGTATCCTGAAATGGCTTTGTCTTTCATCCTATCTCCAATCAGCCCTTTTCCTGATACTTGCATCTATGCAGCAGTTTCAAGCAGCCCTCTTGTCCATAATAAGCAGCTTCATGGAGTGGCAACCATCCATCTTTGTTAGGCTGTGCAAGGTCTTTTCCTGCCTGTATCATGTTGTGCAGTCCCTTTTCATCTCCTTCCTTGATCACCGATACTACAGGATCCAGGACTCTTTAAAACAAAATTGAGAACTGATCACTTTCTCTAGAATTGTTTCTGATACAGTATTTGCAATGTTTGTTTATTTATTAACTACCATTTGATTTGATCACAATTCACAAGGACTCACAGAGGTGCACAATAAATGCAAAAATCAACACCAAATATTACATCAAAAGCAAAAGACAGTTCAAAATATTCATTCTGATAGCCTTGACTGTTGTGCTATCCAGTTCATCCCAAAGATTCAGCTTATTGATCTATTTTTTATTGATGAGTAAGTGATCACTAACACGACCTTCTTAGTGCTTGCCTTCAAACTCCAACTTAAAGTAAGCCAAACTTTCATGAAGTAGACAATACAAATATTGCGACATTTGGGGGCAAGAAATGGAGAGAAGCAGGAAATGGCAGAAATCTCACTGAGTAGGGAAAGTGATTCAGGAAACCAACTGAAACAAAATATTATATAGATGAAAATATAAAAGGAAATGTTACTAGTGTGAAACATATGTGTTAAAAAATAGTCACCTTCAACTCAAACTCAATTCCTGATAACTTCAGTGATATGTCCACATAGTTTTCTTGGCAACAGTGCAAAAATGGGTTGCCATTACATTCTTTTGGGAACATTTTGACTTCCCAGTCTAGTGTACATCTCTGAGATTCCCTGATGATCTACATCCAAGTACTAACCAGGCCAGATCTTGCTTAGGCAAGATTGGCCAGGACAAAACTGCTGTTGTCAGATCTGTTTTCTAAACATACCTTATCATACTGAACACTGTAGTTAACTTGACTATTAGACGACATGTATTTGTTATGACCATAGTAGGGCCCTAATCAGATAGCTGACATCCTGTGCAACATGCAATAATATACAAAAGTAACATTACTTCCTGCAAGCACTATAAAGAATTGATTGCTGCTAGTTATTCTGTATTGGGGTAAAATGCATTGTTGCATTCCTATAGAAACGATCCTATCTTTGGGCTATGCAAAGCATTTAAAACAAAGTGCTTCTTTTTGGAGGGTTAAGCTAGCTAGGTCCTTTGCAGGGCTTGCACTGCCACTTTGAAAGTTGTCCCCCACTGTTTTCACATGTGCATTTTTGCACAACTTTGCTTTGATGTTGGTCTCAGAAGAAGCATAGTTATTCTGCTTTCATACACATGCTCAGACAACCAAGGACAGCTTTTGAAGTAAGTATATGACCCTTACAAAGGAAGCAGCTGCTTTAATGCTTCAAAGTGAGATGCTGTTTTTCACTCTAACATACTTTGGAAACCACTTCTTTCAAATGCTGTGCACAGCCCTATATCCTATACGTACTTGGAACTCAGTTCTGAGCAAATGTTCATCAAATCAGTTATTGTCACTACATCTGCCTTTTTAAAAAATCTAACCATTTCTTCTGCTGCTTTGACTATAAAGTCATCTATTTTTACTGTCTTTGATAATTTGCATGTACTGTAGTATTAAGTTTAAACATTCATCTTCAGGAAAAGATATTATGCAGCAAACTGGGGGAAAAACTTTATTCAGAGAGCTGCTGCTGGTCGAATTTTCCAGTATCGAGCTTGAAAAACCCAGTGGTTGGGCACTATTTGAACTTTGCTCATGGGTACTCTGATTGCTCATCATGGATACTAGGGAGTGCAATCTAATGGTCCCGTACCATGTGCAGCCCCACCCCAAAGCCTTGGGTGCTGTTCCTCAGGTCTTCTCCAAAAGTTGCTGTCATATATATATGGCACTTACACATACAATATATAATGACAGAAGGTAAAATTATTAAATATCTGGGGAGTAATCATACTAATGGGATACTCTGGCAAAATATGGATCATGCTAAAGCATAGGTTTCTAAAGATATTAAATTCAAGGAAGAGAATTGAAAATGTGAGCGCTATGCTTTGTTCACATAATGCAGATGTTTACATGTACTTAACTATATGTACTGACAGAAGTGTATACCGTACTCTACATTATGGTTCCAAATGCTCTGTGGCCTTCTACACTATTGGCTGAGGCAAGAGCACAACTCAGAGTGAGAAAAAGCCTAGAGTTTGAAAGAAAAAAGAGTGAAGCAGGACAGGAGTGGAATCTAATAAGCATGCTGACAACAGGAACTACAGCTCACACTTTAGAAAAAGAGAAATAATAATGTACAATATCTATAATTTCTGTGCAAGAAAGGTTTGGGAGTTATCTTTGCAGAAAATAGACTCCCAGGCTATGAAATGTACTGCCTTGGAAGTTGTATTGGGTTTCTACTTTCTCCACTGTTAGATACTGTAAGCAGTGAGGAAGCCTGGCCTTTAAAAGGGAATTATTTTATTTATGTTTCCATTTATCTTTTTAAAATTAATTTTATTTTTATGTTGCATTATTGTGTTATTTTTGTTATGAAATGCCTTGAATGGTCTTTTAGAACAGCAAGGTAGCATATAAATCTAACAAAATAAACATTTTAGAAAGGATTACAAAATTATTAAGGTTTATTGAATTAATCACATCTTTAGATTGAACTGATTAGCCATTGACTGACATTCATTTATGCATTTCGGGTTTGACTGATGGGGTGGTTGGCTGGAAAATGCATATCATGTGGGCTCAGAGACCCCAGCCAACCAACCAGATTCCTTTTATGCTGCCAGAAAACCAAACAATATTTTAAGTGTTACTAGAGAGCAGATACTTCCTCTCGCCCTCATTGTTTTGATGCCCCTTAACATGATTGTTCTCCCCATTTTCCACTGTTCAAATGTTGCTTTTGGGGCAATGCAGCTAAGGAAAAAAAAAACCCTGGATAAATGGCAGTCAAAATTAATCACTAGAGAAACCAAGCAATCAGTGCACTGGAAAGTCCTACAAGTGACACTAAAACTTACATGGAGTTAACTATTCGGCTTTCAGGAGAGAGAAGCTCAAGAGAAGTAGAAACAAAGAAGGAGGGCAGGCAGTCCACAGGAGTAAAGTTTCCTTCTGTTAGTTTTGTAAATTCTTCACAAACTGCTTAATGTCATTCCAGCTGCCTAAACAAGCCTAGCTCATAAAAACAACATTTTTAACAGGAAAGGGAGAGGAAGGACTTACTCAGCTTGGGGCAAGATGAAGAAGCTGCCATCGTACCTCCTCCTGACTCCTGAACCGGATGCTGAAGTCTGGGCTCCGGACTGTGCAGCACGCCTGAAGTGATGACAGCATGAATAAAATAGCGAAAAATACTCCGAGTAAGAAAAGCAAATCATATCTGAGTCTTGTAAAGATCATCGAAAAAAAGAGTCCGAAAGGGAGACAGAAAGAACCTGTAGACTTTCTGAGGGTTAAACAAAAGCAGATGGTCTCAGCTTTTGCAGGCCTTGGTCTCAGCTGCTCTTTCACTTCTGGATTATTTTTGGCCCTAAGAGGAAGTGTCATGGGATTTAAATGACCATATAAGACTGCAGCGAGATTAATCCCACTACCAAACAGCCGGCAGAGAAAGGGCTTGAAGGCATTCTTCACTTCAGGGGGAAGAAAGGCCTGAGAGTGTTGTTCAGAAACAACAGAGAGAAGAAGACAGCTTAGAGATTGGTTCTGAATGACAAGGCTGTGCAAAGCCTTTCGAAGCCTGTATCTTCAAGCCTCAAGCCACATCCTTAGCAATGCTTGGGCAACCGCTCTGAAGGTTGCCTCTGCTATCTGCATGCGTGCATGCAGGACTTCAGATCTGGAGGCAGAAGGTGCGTTGGGGCCTATGGACTCATACACTGGCCTGCAACTCTATAAACCCAACATAGCTTTTCCCAAGATCATGTGACAGGAATGGGAGGTAGCCACACAACTCCAGGAAAAGGTGCAGCTTCTTTAAAAAGTTGCAGAAAGGTATTAGGTTTATTTTTTTTCCACACGTACACTCCAAAGCAGTTTCTCTCTTCCCATTGGAAGCACTGTCCAGCCCTACTACGTAAGCATAGTTATTTTGCGTTGGTGCCAGGGGCAGAACGGGCTGTGTGTGCACATGAACAGAGACGCTTTGGAAGTAGCAGTGTGAGTCTTGCTTTAATATTCAATATTCAATATTCCATATTTAATATGGAATAATATTTAATATTCCATATTTAAGATGTGGTTGCTTTAATATTCTGAAGAGGAATGCTGTCTCTGAAAGCTTTGCACAGCTAACTGAACCAGGCCAGGAGGAGATTGTCAGGTCCAAATTTCATAAGGTTCCAACATCTTTTCAAGTTTCCCTGAAGATAGATTTTTATCAGATGCAGCTTTTCTGATCATCAGAGATTTGCAGTGATGGGCCAAGGCACACATGGACACACTCTCTTTTCTAGGTATCTGCTTTAGCAAGTACTTTAATTACCTTTTAAAAATATTTTGAAAAGTAATATGCAGTCAATACAGGTACATGAACATTAAGTCAAAAATAGCCTTAGTGATTTTGTCCCCCTGTCCCTATGACACAAAGGTTTCCATTTGCTCTTAAATCTTTTTAAAGGGGGAAACAAAAGAGCAATACAACTGAATTGTGAAAAGCCATCATTTTGGGCAAGTCAGAGAAGGGGGTACTCATTCATTGAACCTAAGGACGTCTGTCTCACCAGCACATTAACTGGATGCAGCTTCATTTTTACACCTTTCTAGCACTCCTCTCCCCACATCCTTTAGCATGGAGGTACACAATTTATCTGGGGCTGAGTAACCCAACTGGCCTTTGAATGTCATCTTGGTGGCTGCAGCACAAAAAGTGAGGTGGGGCAGGACAAAAGAAGCTTTTTTCCATTGTGGCACCTATATCCTTCCCCCAGTGAGAGTAAGAAAGAGCCAGTTTGGTGTAGTGGTTAAGGCACCAGGCTAGAAACTGGGAGACTGAGTTCTACTGCCACCTTAGGCACAAAGCCAAGTGGGTGACCTTGGGCCAGTCACTCTCTCTCTCTCTCAGCCCTTGGAAGGAGGCAAAGGCAAACCAATTCTGAAATCTTGCAGGGATTAGTCCAAGCGGTTGGCAGGAGTCAACACTGACTCAAAGGCACATACACAAGTGAGAGTACAGTAAAGCACTCACATCCAGGACTTAGTGACCATAACACTGTTTTTGTTCCTTAAGTACTGTCTGACAGTGCTACTTACTTAATTGTCTGTATGTTTCTTAACTAATCTATTATTTATGTGTATAATTTAGCTTGTTTTATGGTGCGGCTTATGGAAAATACTCCTCAAGGAATTATGTTTGACCCCACTCTCCTAATATTTAGGAAAGTGGCAAACTGCAACTCTTTTGCCAAAAATTGTTTTAATTACACAATTTTGATTTTAATTGTATTTATTTTACTGTTATGCTTTATGCTTTATATTTTATATTTTATTACTGTTGACTATCTTCATTGCTATAGGAATAGAAAGGTAGGATATATTTTTAAAAATAAGGTAAAAAGTACAGGTATCTTTCTGGCAAATTGTAGTTTCTAAAATATGTCTTTTAGGGCTACTAGAGTAGAGATTTTGCCTGGGATTGACCTATTTTACCCATTCAGAGTTGTTAGGCATGGAATATTTATCTCCTTATCTGCAAAAATATCCCTTTGGGCAAGGGATTAGGGACAATTGCTATCCCTTTCCCATAGTACAGGATACATAAACCTAATTTTCCTATTGAGAAGTAGACAAGAAAAATTAGAAGGTTAATAGTGCTGTATTGGCCTGTTTGCTATGATGGCCCAAGACAGCTGGATAAAGGCTGCTAGAGTTGAGTCAAATATAAATTCTGACAGAGTAAACAACCTGTGTGGAGGGTCAACATTACCTCTCGATCGCTTTGGGAGACCCCAGCTGTTCCCTCTGCTGAAAGACAGAACTATCTAAGCCACACGGTTTACCCTCAGTCTACTAAACCAGCCTGCTGTTTCAGGTGTGCTGGATCACATTTTATAGTTGATAGTCCTGCATTCATCTAGTCCAGCCTGGATAAGGTGGGAAAACCATCCTGCTCTGCCAGCCACAAAAGTTCATAAACTGCCTACATGTGTTGTGATCAACCATTTTAAATGATATTGGTACTTATAACTTAGCTGATCCCAAATGCTGAGGGGCCAGACTATAGACGAGGACAGTTATGAAGAGCATTGGAATCTTGCCCATATCTGGCTACTACTCAGAACAGCCAATTTGGAAAACTACCTTATCCTCTTTGTCCCTCAGCTTGAGAGACATATTTGCTGTGAATATGAAAGAGACCTACTTGATAGCTGCTCTCTAAGCTTTGGAACTGTTTGTCAAGAGGAACTAAGTTAGTCTTACCTCTTCCTCCATCTACTAGTAGGAAAAAATGTTAAACTCATTTGCTGCTGAATTAGATTTAATCTGATGGCTTTAGATTTTTTTAAGTGATGTTTTTAACTGTTGTATTTGAATGCCAGAACATACCTTTTACTTTTAGCCACCTAGAGTATTATGTTGGTGGAAAGACAGGATATGTTTTTATTTCAAAGATCTGGGTGGAAAAATTATTCTAAAAATGGATGAATTACGATTAATTAAGAGTGCAAACCTGGCAAGTAAAGGTTTCAGGGATAGGGAAAGTGTGACCCTCCATATGCTGTTGATTTATACCTACCAGCAGCTCCAGTCAGCATGACCAATGGGAGGTCTACTGGGTGTTATAATTCAACAGAATCTGAAGGTTGTAGGCCCCCACACCTGGGTCAGAGAATAATTTAACTTTTCTTATCACAAAGGAAATCCAAACAGATTCAAACAGAGTGACTATGGAAGAATCCCCAGATTTTAATTAGGGGAGTGGGAGAGAATACTTGCATGAGAAAGACACATGCATTCTTAGCTGTCTTATGGAACCCAGCTCAGGGCTGAGCTGCACATTATACTGAACATCCTTGGATCAACTCTGATAATGTTCCAGTCAGTACAGAACTGGTTGGGGAAAATATTCTTGAAGTCACAGGTGGCCCAGGAAGACATGCCCTTAAAGCAGAATGAGCAAGTCTCACACTAGCAAAGGAACAGTGTCCTCCACCATATCAGAAACTGGCTAGTTTAGAAGGAGCATGGCCATATGTCTTTCCTCTAGCACTTTGCTGCCATTTCTCCATAACTGCTGCCTGGGGCAATTGCTTAATTCTGCCTAATACTTATCAGGGAAGTTCTACAAAGCTTCAAGCAAATTATATCAGAAAAAGATGTAGCACTGAGGTGTAGCCATACGGCAGAATTTTGTTCTGAAGTTTTCTCTCATTTGTGCTTTCTCACTCGCATGCTTACCTTTCCCAAGGATAAAGGTAGAAATTTTGACAGTAAGGTTCACTGGGAGGTGGTGCTGCGGTAACTGTCTTCTGTGCAGCTATTTGCTCAGCAGGATCTTCTGTCAAACTCTGCTCAATGGCCATCTGAATAAGTTCATCCTCACTCATGCTGCTGTACAGGCTATATTCCTCATGTCCAATTGTACCCGTTCTTGCTACGGTAACTTGTGTTGTCATCTCCCACTTTCTTTTAAGTCAGAAGGGATGGTTAAAAATAACTCTGGAAATAAATACAGGTCACATATCTTATCATGAGTGGATCACATGGACTCTGCTGTCACTCATGCACTTACTTCACTCCCCAGGCACTGAGAAATATGGAAAGGTGATAGCAGATGAAGGCTGACTTCTTGCCTGATTTTCAACCTAAAACTTGTGGGCATCTCAGGGAAGAGAACATCAGTTGTGACTCCCAAAGACAGTTGCCACTGAATGGTAACTTTTAACATAAAGAAGGGCAGAAATTATTAAATGGTTTAAATGTTTATCTCATCCTAGTAATTCTATTTAATAAATTTAAATTCAATTTATTGTAATTTAAGTACAATTAGTTTCAATCCTGTCCCCATTTTTTATCATGACCAGACTTTTTTTGGGGGGGAATGGCTCCTTGATATGTCATTTAAAGGACAAGTGCCACAGGATTTTTCCATCTGCTCATCCTGGATCATCTTAAATTCACAGTCATCTTCTTTTGGATAAATATGGCTTTCTCTTTTACTTCTTTTAATTTTTAAATTAAACTTATACAACTTATAAAATAGTTAAAAATGATTGTCCAGTTGCTTCATGGCCTTTATTGTTGTTGTTAATTTTCTTATTCATTTGATTTATAGCCCATCTTTCTTCCAGCTCAATACAATGTGTATTATATGCCTCCAATTTCAAGCCTAAAGCAGGGTGCTGTGGGATAACTACGTTACTAATCTAAAAACATCTCATTAGTCTGATGGAATGTTTGATTAGGTTTAGGGACACCCAGTTTCAACTCTGTATTTAGCCTTAAAAATTCACTAAATGACTTTGGGCCAATTCCTGATAATCTACTTTTGTCAAAACATATTTCTTGGAATAATGAAAGAGTAACACGAAGAATTATATATATTTGCAAAGTTGGACTACTATTTAGCTCTTTCTCCCAGTGCCTGCAAAATGTCAGGTTTGTTGCTGTTTGAATTGTTGTTCAGGCATTCAGTCCATGTGTTGGTTCTGGTTAAACCTTACCCCCACTGACATCACTCAAATGACATCTTTCTCTTGCAGAAATTTTTGCATTCTCATGCTCTGGTGTTTTGAATGCCTGAACCGAGCTTGAGGAAAAACAGAATGACTGTGGGAAAAATCACTGGGTGAGACCAAATAGATGACAGTGTTGCATAGATGGCTCATATAAAAAGTGGCAATTCTACACTGTATTTCTAGTGCAGAAGCACCCTAGTATGTCCTTTAGGATATGGAAGTGTCCTTAATGGAAGCAATGCATTCAGAGCAGTTTCTTCTGGGTTTTTCATGCATATTTTCTGACTGGCAACAACTAGAAACAGAATGCTAGGTAGGTAGTCAGTCTCTGATTCAGATAGGGAGTCCTTCTGTTCTTAATGACTCTGCTGCATCAGTATGTCCTTGCTAAAGAAGAAATTAGCATTTTTGATTTGGAGCAAGTTCATTCTTGATTGAGGGCTTTTCCCCATTTGCATTTAACCACAGGACAGATATGTCCTGGAAACCTCATTTACTGTAACTATGTGTTCCCAGGAGGTTGCCTTCATCTTATCCCCAGCTTGTATCTGGGACACCTCTGAATTGTCCTTAACAGTTCCAGTGATAAAGTAATGTTTTCTCCCATGGCAGTTTTAATGTGGGTACAATCTGATATGCATACCATGCTCCCTCCTTCTGGTTCCACAGCGCTGTCCTCCAGGACATTTCTGGATTGGGCAGAGGGAAAGTCAGGTGTTTTCAAACCAGGCTCTTCTTAACCACTACCTCTCTGAACTGATGAATCCGCAGATCCCTGGGATTAAAAGCTGGCTCTCCCCATTTACTTGCCTTCTCCCCCAACCCAGGCAGCTGATTCCCATGCTGGAAGAGGTGGAAGGTAAGGGAGGAAAGCCAGATCTTTAAAGCTCCCAGGTTGGCCAGGATTGGTGTCCTGGCAGTAAGGGGCTGGCTCTTTTTCCTCAGCTGCCTCCTTTCTCAGCACTGGCAGCTGTTCCCCAGGCAGGGAAAAGTGGCAAGTGAAGGGATGGAATTGCTTCTTTCTAATCATGCCAAGCTGACTGGCACTACACCAGTCAGCTGTTAGATGGGTTTCTTTTGAATGTGGGTTTAGTTCTCTTGTTTCACCATTCTGCTTCACTGCACAGCCACTCCAGTTCCAGTCAGCTGTTAGCCAGGTTTCATTTGGACCTATCCATGCAAATTCAGAACACTTTTTGCTGGTCTAGCTAACGATCAAGACTTGCCTCCTCATTGGCCCTCCTCCCATTTCACATTAAGGAAGTGGTTGGTGGAAGTTTTTCAGCTGGTGACGTTTGCTGGGAGGGAAGTGAAACAAAGTCAGGAGGATCTACCTCAACTTTCTCTGAACAACGTATAAGGAGATACCACCATTGGGTAACGAACCCAGAACAGTGGCTGCAGAAGCAAGATAGGGATTGGCAGTGGAAATAGCAAATATTGTGCTGGTATAGTTTTCTGCCAATTCAAAGAGTGGTGGATAGTACTTGCAGCTAGATAAATTTGTTCAATCTATCAATCAATCAGCAGGGTTAAAGAAAAGGCCCTTAGTGCCAAGTTAGAAGTGACATGATAGCCATATATATTTTATGCACTCACTGTCCCAGTAGATATAATGCAGAGACAGTTTTCCTATTCAGAGGGCATATAGTGTATATTATACTGGGATTATACTCACTTTCCTTCACCATTCACTCCTTTTTAAATAAATAGTAATTTCCCTGCTTTTTATGTGAATGGGTCAGGCATATGGTCAATTTTACCATCATATACATTTTGTTATGAACTCTGTAAATTAGGTGACTGTTTCTCCCAAATGTTGAAAAGCTTCTGGGGATCTGAAAAGAAGCTTCTTGGAGGATGTCATCACATAAGCTTTCTTCCCCAGGCACAGAAATAGGGAGAAAAACAACTGTACCTAGGAAACTTTCATCAACTGTACTTTGATGAAGAAAGAAGTATTAAAAGATTGGTGGAATTAAAAAAAAAAGTAAAACAGATTATTCCCATTAGTTGACATAAACTTCAGAGCATTGTATGCTTTCTACAGAATCAAAAGGGGCCTCTTGTTAATGCTATCACATGCCAACTTTCCCTTTTTCCTTCCCACTCATCCTCTCCAGGGTCACTTTTATAAATACTCTGCTTGGGTCAGGTTGCAACTGGCATTTGCCGAGTATTTCATATGACACATAAGGCAAAATAAACAGCTTGCAGCAGGTCACAGTGTGAAAAGCATTGCAAAGCAAAACATTCCTTTTAGTAGGTATAGTCTGACTTGCTGTTTTGTAACAGCAGTAAAACAATTGCCTGGATACCCTGGAAAAGTTGTCCACTAAATAGTATAATGACTTCTAAATCCAAATCAGTAATGTATTCTAAATCCAAACAATATGACTTAGAGACAAAGCTGAGTTTGCCAGCAAAACTAGTCTTTGGGGGAGTGGGAAAGGGACACATAGTCCCTAGATGTCATTGCACTACAATTCCCAGCATCCCCAGCTGATTTTGCTAGTGAAGAAGGATGATGGGAGCTGTAATTGATGATTGTTCTATCATATCAGTGTGTAGAAATTCTGGCCCATCCCTTTGTGGTAAGCTCCATCAACTTAATAACTGCTTGTTTCTGGTCCTGCACAATTCTATAGGGTTTAGATCTGAACTTTGACTGGGCCATTCAAAATACTTGAATTCTTTCTTCTTCTTCTATTCTCTTGTAGACTTGCTGGCTTGTATGTTGTCTTGCTGAATGGCCCACTTACACTTCAGCTTAAGCTAACAGAGATGGGCTGATATTGTTCTGTAGAATAATCCTTTTATATAAAGCAGAATCCATGGTTTGTTCAATGATGGTAAGTTATCTAACTCTTGAGACAGAAAAATGTCACCAACCATGATACTACAACCTCAAAATTTGACAGCTGATATGAGGTTCTAATTGTGGAATGTGGTATTTGGCTTCCACCACATATAACTACACCCATGTAGCCCCCGCAGTACAACTTTTGACTCATCTGTTCTTACAGCATTTCTCCAGAAATCTGAAAGGTCCGAGTGCCTTTTGGGAAACCTGAGACAAGCATCAATGGTCTGCTTAGTAAGCAAGGGATTCCACCTAGCCATTTTTCCAAGAATCCCATTTTCACCCAGTGTTTTCAGTTGGTGGAGTCATGAAAATTGACCTTAGCTAAAGTGAAGGAGGCTTCCAGATCACCAGCTGTTCTTCTGGGATTCCCTGTGACTTCCTGGATTATTATAATTGATGGAACTAAGAGATCAATTGATTTTTTTACACTGGCATGATAGGTAACTTTGTTTATGAAATAAAAGGAGCTCATACTTAATTTATCTGTTAGTAGGATCCGCATGACACTCTAATAATATTCAGTGGCAAATATTCTATAATTCTGAACTCAAAAATTCAGAAAATCTTAGTGGAGGCATTTTTTTTTCCATGGAATTGTGTAACTGTACAGCCTCCTTGTATGATTAGGATCCTGAGCTTTGAATTGCAAATTTAAAAAACCTCTGTGTTGTGTATTTTGTGCACATTTTCTAATATACATATTTTATGTGTGTTGTTCATATTATATGCACCTTTTTTCCTGCCATTTATTTCTTTGTATAATGTAATTATGGATATATTTTCACCTGTTACATGCATTTCTATGTACACTTTTCTTTAATAAGTATAGGTATCAAATAAATATATTCAGAAACGTAATTCTGAAATGTAGATAAATGCATTCTGCTCTGCATGTATGTCTGTAAATCCAAGATGTTTGCATAACAACGAACTGAATGAATTTCTACATCATACTATTTACGCACTGAGTCTATTATCAGCTTCTGCCAAGGAAAGGCGTACAGGCCTATCTGGTTTGCCTTTTAACATTCCTGGTCCTGCTAAAGAATCATTCCAAGGCTTGCTGATGTACATTCTGCTGTAGTGATGCCCACCTTGTGATGCGACATCCATTACAGATTACATTATACCGATTTCAGCTCTCATTGTGGAGGGATTTTGCCAGAAACTGAAAACACACCAAGCCTTTCCTTCATTGTTTCATTTGTCTCTGATTACTGATTTTTAGTTGTTGGTTTTATAAGTTTACTATTTCTGTTCCAACATATTCATTTTTATTATAACTATGGTAAACTGCTTTCTCTTTTTAAAATAAAAAGAACAATACTGCTTAATAAAAGCAGTATTAAAATACTGTAAATAAATACATGCATGGAGTTTAGATACAAATCAAGAGGTACGTCTTGGACAAGAGTTGATTGGACCAAAACATTGTTTTATAGGTAAAGGTTTTTATTTTTGGTAAAACAAGCACAGCAACGTTTGCATTTTTTGTGCTGGATGAGGAAAGTACATCTCTCATCTTCCATTCTCCTTACTTTCTATAGAGGCACTATAGA